TTGTTTCCTGAGATTAAGAGTCTCTTATGGTTTGTCTCCCTCTCTGGGTTCGTCTTGTTTCATTTTCCCCCTCCCTTCCCCTATGACCCTCTGCCTTGTTTCTCAAATTCCTCCTATCAGTGAGATCATCTGATAATTGTCTTTCTCTGATTGACTTATTTCGCTTAGCCTAATACCCTCTAGTTCCATCCACGTCGTTGCAAAGGCAAGATCTCATTTTTGACGGCTGCGTAATATTCCTTTATATATATATACCACCTCTTCATTATCCATTCATTTCAACAACATGTCTCTTGATTAGAAGCTCTGGCTGGTAGCTCTAATTATCAGAGATAGATTGATCTCTTTTTTAAGGGTAAAATGAGTTACCTAGATGGGAGTTTGAGAGACTACATTTTTCAAATGGTGTCCATGAGAGAAAACATTTACCATTTTCAAGGACCAAGGGGTCCTAGGGGCCAGAATGGGTGAGAACCACTGGCATAGAGCTAGGAGGAAGACCGGAGATGCCTGTGTGAAGGAAGGAGAAAAGGAGCCCACCACTTGAGAAGGCCAGTTGCCTGTCTAGCCATTTGGGGGAAGAGCTAGCTATTTATAAGAGGGTCAGAATTCCTTAACTTGATGTTATGTAGTCTTAGTTATACTGGTGGGAAGCAGGGAAGGGCTTATGCCCAGGCTTCAACGAAAGCTTTATCGTTGGCTAGAATATCCTTGGGCCTGTGGGACTGTGAGAGTGCCAATAAGAGAAATGCAAGCCGGTTCACAGCTCCAGTGGCCAGAATCTGGCCAACCATGCCACCTACTTCTTCCCGTCTCAATAGTCCTCATCCCATGTTTTCTCGGCTACTTTCTTGGGGTTTGAGATTTGCACGAGGGAAATCTGGGGTTCAGGTATATGATGAAAGTAGAGTCTAGGACCAGGTTGGGTCCGTAACCAAAGCAAGAAAAATCTTTTAAGGTCACGTTGCTCCCCGATCTGCAAGAGCTGGGCTGAGAGATGAGAAATCAGAGAGAACGGGATAGCAATGGACAACTCATGAAAAGCCTCTCTCTCATCAGTTAGACCCTGCTGGCTTTGCAAGGCAGCGTTTTGGTTTTTCTTTTTGTTTGCTCTAACACTCTAGGTATTTTTCAAGGACTGAAGACAGAGAATCCGGAATAAGACCATGAGGGAGCACCGCCGGTTTTGCTCACCTTGAGATACTGACGGGCGGGTGCTTGAATGAGGGAACGAGGGAGGAGGCTTATGCAGGCAGGGAATTTCCAGGGCTTTGCCTAGGGAAGTGCAGGAGTCAACGTGTCAGTATACAGCAGAAAGAATATGGAGGCATCAGCACTCAAATGTTGCTAGCAATACTTCTGAAATGCAAATACTTGTTTTCCAGGAGGACCAGCTGCTGGGAAATTTGCAGCTGAGTACATGAAAGAAGTAGCTCACTTGTTGAAAGATCATGACATGGCACCAAAGGTAAAGATCTTGTTGCTCCAGAGTATAGCGTGTTGGTGTTACTTAAACCCCGTCAGCCAGAAGAGGGCCAAACATCTGAAGTTTATTCCTATCCTCGTTGAGGTTTTTGAGGACAAACTCGACTCTACGACCAAAAGTGAAATAAACAACAGCCTCCTTGTTAAATTCTGGACTTGCTATGTTCTCTCCGTCATGACGTGCAATAACTTGTCCTGCGTAAAGGAGCTTAAAAACTACAGTATTCTGAAATATCACTTGCAAATACTGGCGACTGAGAATTGGTCTGGGTGGCCTGAGAATTTTGCAGAGGTGCTGTATTTCCTAATTGGTTTTCACAGGAATTAATTTCTCCGAATGCAGCTGACGCAGCTGTCTATACCACAGCCTGGAAAACCGGAATAAATAATAAAAAGTCGATATAGTCTTCTTCGGTGTCTTCTTTTAGGTACTTAAGAAATTCTATATAAATCTTCAACGGTCACTGAAATAACCACACGTATGAAAAGGGCCACTCTTTAAAATGACCTCAGAAAAATTAAGTTCATAATATGGGGATTCATTGAAAGATGAGTTATGTATATAACTGTTAGGAGCAATGGTATGTTTTGGGGGTTATTAGATGACATACAGCCAAGGCACCCAGCCCAACCCCCAGTTACCCCTTGTAGAGGGCACTGTTACTCCACCTGTAGCCTCTCAGCCCCGATGATTTCAGTGCCGGCCCTCCAGTTGCCACGCCTTTAGCCGAGAGGCTCTTCTGGCCACCAGAACATGATTTTGTTGTATGTCGGGCCAGCAGGAAATTTGGGGGAATGAACACCCCAGAAAAGCAGCCCTCAGCTCCCCTGCGGGAGCTCTGGATGGAGGTGGGGTTCCGTCTGCTCCAACCCCTAGACAGCCTGAAGGTAGGCCCTTGGGTTTTCCTACCAAGATGTGCACCCTCCCTATTGGATCCTTAGGGGATAGGTAACAGAAAACCTGCACTTGACTTCTGTGTTCCCCGGGGTCATGAAAAGCTTTATTGCAAAAGGTAATATTTATCCCAAGTGCCTAAGGGATGTGCACCCGCTTCTCCAGCTACACTAACAGTCACCTCTCGCTGACGCTGCGGCCACCGTAGGTTGAATTATGCGCTTTCATTTGTCACAAATGGGCTTTGACCAGGCTGTGCCCCAGCCTGATGCTTCCGCCTTTACTAAACTGGTGGTGTCGTTCTGTGATCCCCGCTTGTATTTATTACAGGAACGCTGAGAGGGACGCGGATCACACCACGTGGACTCACGGGCCTCTCGCGGGCGGGGGTGGGGGAGGTGTTCCCAGACCTTCAACCAGGCAAAGCTGTGTCCTGCGGCGCACCTGTTATGTTCTCATCCACGGTGGCTTTTGTGAGCGCAGAGTTTCTCCAGCTAGCATCCCATTTACCGGGGTAGATTAAGGGTTGCAAATCGGTAGTCCCATTGAGAGACTGGGTCGTGGGCAGAAATTACTTTTTTTTTTTTTCCTGTGTCCCGTTTTTTTTATGGTTTTGCAGCAGAATGCCCGACATGAAACATAATTGTAAATATTCGGCTGTGCAAAAGAGAATAGTGCTTAAGTACAGAAGGAGACATGATTTTTTTTTTTTTAAATAAATACTTAAACACAACTCGGGTCCCACAAGCACCTGGACTCAGAGGTCTGTGCGGCGGAGCTGCCTGCCTGTGGTTTTAAATGCTTTTTAAATTAAATTTTATTGTATTTCAAAGTAATACACGAACATGATTTAAAAAGTCAAATAACCCAAGGCCTCTGACAGAAAAATAGCAATCCCCAAACTCCCTCCTGATTCACACTCCCAGAGGTAACCGTTGGAATTCTTTTGGCTCTTTCTTCTGGTATTTACTTACCTCCATAGCTGTAAATAGTTCACATACATTGCCAATTCTTTTTTTTTTTAAGATTTTATTTATTTATTAGAGAGAGAGAGCACAGCAGGGGGAGAGGCAGAGGGAGAGGGAGAAGCAGGCTCCCCGCCGAGCAGGGAGCCCGACGTGGGGCTCGATCCAGGACCCCGGGATCATGACCTGAGCCGAAGGCAGATGCTTAACAGACTGAGCCACCCAGGCGCCCCTTATACATTGCTAATTTTTTTTTCAATTTTAGGTATTTTTCCTTTTACTTCTTAATATGACAGATAAGACTTAGGGTTGTAACCCTGTCCCTTGCCTGTGTCCACATGCCCTCCTCTTCCTCTCTCGGGAATAATCATGCCATCATTGGAAGATCTGGGACGCCTGGGTGGCTCAGTCGTTAAGCGTCTGCCTTCAGCTCAGGTCATGATCCCAGAGTCCTGGGATCGAGTCCTGCATCGGGCTCCCTGCTCGGCGGGGAGCCTGCTTCTCCCTCTGCCTGCAGCGCTCTCTCAAATAAATAAATAAAATCTTAAATTAAAAAAAGGATGCATTACCTATATCACTGTTAATTAACTATATAACTTGTTAATTAAAACAAATAGGAATACTTCAATATTTTTCATGGCTAAGTCATATCGCGTAGTGTGATTTTCTTCTTCGTACAACTCTGTTTTCCCTGGAGTCTTGTTCCTTTGTTTTGTGGCTTTAGTTTCACTGATTGATTCCCACTCTCTATAGCTGTTCAACCACTCTCCATAGTTTCACACTGTGTAATTGTCAGCTCCCATATCCTGGCTACCGTAGATAATGCTGCAATAAACACAGGGGTGCATATACCTTTTCAAATTAATGTTATTTTCTTTGGGTAAATATCCAGTACTGGAATTTACTGGATCATTTTTAACTTTTTGAGCAGCCTCCATACTGTTTTCCACAGTGACTTTTCTCCACATCCTCACCAACACTTGTTATTTCTTGTGTTTATTTTAGCCATTCTGACATACATAGAGTGACATCTCTTTGTGGTTTTAATTTGCATTTCTCTGGTGATTAGCAATGTTGAGCATCTTTTTATGTGTCTGTTGGCCATTTGTATTCTTCTTTGGAGAAATGCCTATTCAGGCCCTCTGCCCATTTTTAATTGGGTTATTTGGTTTTTTGGTGTTGAGTTGTGTAAGTTCTTTACCTATTTTAAATATTAACCCTTTATTGGATGTATCATTTGCAAGTATCTTCTCCCATTCGGTAGGTTGCCTGTTTGTTTTGTTAATGGTTTCCTTGGCGGGGCAGAAGATTTTTATTTTGGTGTAGTCCCAATACTATAATTTTGCTTTTGTTTCCTTTGCCTCTGGAGACATACCTAGAAAAGTGTTTTTATGGTTGACGTCAAAGAACTTACCGGGTATGTTTTCTTCTCTAAATTTTGTGATTTCAAGTCTCACATTTAAGTCTTAAATCCATTTTATTTTTGTGTATGGTGTAAGAAAGTGGTCTGGTTTCATTCTCTTGCACGTAGCTGTCTAGTATTGCCAACACCATTTATAGAAGATTCTCTTTTCCCCATTGTATGTTCTTGCTTCCTTTGTCATAGATTGACCATGCAAGTGTGGGTTTATTTCCGGGCTCTCTGTTCTGTTCTACTGACCTCTGTGTCTATTTTTATGCCAGTACCATATTGTTTTGATTACTACAGCTTTGTTGTAGATCTTGTAATCTGGGATCGTGATACTTCTTTGTTCTTTCTCAAGATTGTTTTGGCTATACAGGGTCTTTTGTGGTTCCATACAAATTTTAGGAGTATCTGTTCTAGCTCTGTGAAAAATGTTGTTGTACATACCAATACTTTATCCTTGGTCTTGGTTTTTGTATCTTAGAGTTTCTTCTTTTCTACTGCATCAGAGTATTCCACTGTATGACTGAACTATAATTTATATAATTTTAAGCATGGACATTTAGATTATTCCCAGTCTTTTGATAGGTTAAAGTTGTAATAACTTTAAATATAGATCATTTCACACGTGTGAGTACATAGATTTCTCATAGGAATAGATTTCTAGAAATGGATTTCTTGGCAATATTTATTATTTTCATTTAAGTTTACTTCTGGGCCCTGCTTTGTCACTTTCCCTCATCTTTTCTTTACTATTAGCTGTCTTCATCAGGGTGAGATTATGTCTTTTGTAGTTTACTATTATTATTTTTTTAGTAGGAATATGGATTCTTTTTTTTTTTATTATGTTAGTCACCATACGTTACATCATTAGTTTTTGATTGTAGTTTACTATTATCTTTAATGGGATCTAGGGAGACACAGGAGATAAACGGCTGTGTTTGACTCTCCTGCTTAACCAGAAATTGCTAAGGCCCCTCTTCTGACAATGCTTAGAGAACTCTGGGTTAACATTTTATCTACAGAGGTGTAGCTTGAAAGGCAGCCTGGCTATATTGCTGTATTCAAGTTCTTTTTTTTGGTCTCTGGCTCACCTGGAAGTTGAAGGTGGTAAAACATAAGGCTTAGACTTGGGCTTTGGGGTAATTTTATGCTAAGCTTTGAATTTAAAACTGGTTTGCCAAAGTTCTAATAATTAGTTTTAAATTTTCCTTTGTTACCCCTTATAACTTCATCCTTCCCCAACATTTGAGTTCTCCTAGAACAGACTTGAGTCAAGAATTTGAGTGCAGGAACTGTATTTGGAAGATGATCTAAGGAACTAGCAACAGGGAAGGGAAGAAAGCGAGTAGGTGTGTGGTCAAGAATGTTACACCATAAGTAGACGGTACTTGTGATCCTGCTGAGGGCCTGCTGGTAAATACACAACACACGCACCTCAGAATTATCCCACCCAGAGGCCCTGGGAGCTCAAATATGCCAACTCCTATCCTTCTTGACCTAATGACCTAATGAGCTAGAACCTAAAATTCAACTGAGGTTTCTTGAAGGCGACAGGGTTAGCGGGGGAGTTTTCTAAACAGAGCAAAGTTGCAAGGGCCCAAGGCTGGGTAGTGGACATGTGTTGTGTCTGGTTAACTAGAATCAATTCTTTCTTCTGAGACACTGCAATTTCGAGGGGATAGCTGGCCCACGGTGTCATCTTAAGAGACTGTCAGCCAAGCCATCTTGCCCTCCCAAGGAGCAGCGACATAAGCCAGGCCACGCCAATCTCGCCATGTCAGGAAAGGGGAGAAAATCAGCACTAAGACAATGCCAATGAGCACCTGTTAGAGGGTCCCCCATGCTGGTTTCTGCTTCTTCAGGACCATTCTGTTCTTCCAGTGAATTCCGTTTTTGTTCACAGTAGACAGTTTCTATTTTTTAAAAAGAACTCTGAGGAAGGCAGGAAGAGACAGAACATGTCCCAGAACTTTTTAAGAATATTTTTGCCACATCTTAGTAACATTTACTTCTCATCACAGATCCTCTCACCATCCCCCCATACCCACTGTTTTTAAACTTGTCTGTGCTCGTTTATAGAAAAGCAATTAATTTAAGGTGATTTTAAAATCTGGCCACTTAATTTGTTTCTAGTCGCTCTTGGGACTTTCTTATGTAAATGAATTCTTTTTCCTTCCCATAATTAGCTTTCTTTGATTTGATTGCACCAGGCTGAGACCTCAAAAATAATTAGTAATAATTGTGGCCCATTCTTCTCTAGTTCGTGACTTTACAACTGTTTCTAAAGCTTCACCATTAATCATTCACCATGTTTGTTAGGCGTAGGAAGATAGCTTTTTATCAAGTCTTTTCCTGGCTTAGCTGTTAAATTTTTTTTTTTTTTAAAGATTTTATTTATTTGACAGAGAGACACAGTGAGAGAGGGAATACAAGCAGGGGGAGTGGGAGAGGGAGAAGCAGGCCTCCCGCGGAGCAGGGAGCCCGATGTGGGACTCGATCCCAGGACCCCGGGATCATGACCTGGGCCGAAGGCAGACGCTTAACGACTGAGCCACTCAGGCGCCCCAGCTGTTAAATTTTATTGATGCTATTTTATTAGGATTATGGGCTTTCTTGCCCTTCAATGTGAAGAATTTCAAGTGTGTACTAATACTGAAACAATCTCGCATCCCTGGGATAAACCCCAACGTGGTCATCATGTTTTCTCTTTCAGTATATAACTGGATTAGATTTACCATTTTATTTAGGATTTGTCCATTTGTATTACCAGGGCTCTCGTTTCCCCCTGCTCCAAACCCTTTTGTGGGCTATCCTGGCTACTTTAGTATGTAATACTGACCTTATAGAATATACTGACAAGTTCAGTCTAATCCAGGCTTCACACGTAACGTTTTTCCAGTTGATTCTTAACCTGTTGCCGTTATCCTTACAGAACCTCTCCCGAATTTTTTAAGTCAACTTCAAGTAAGTTATGCTAACTTGCCAGGTGTGATTGACCGCTGACCGTCTTTAAGGCATTTCATTGAGGTGTTCTGGCATTTGATACCTAATTAAAAATCAGACTCATCATCTTAAGTAAATTCTTCCAAATTCCCCATCATCTAGGGTCACAGTTCCCAGGTCCTGGAGGCTTAAAAATCACTCCCCAAAACCACGCCAAGGTCCTTAGGCAACTGATTTGCTTTCCATCAAGATTCTAGTTTTATCTAAATGGAAGCAAACAGCAGGTACTCTTACCTGCTTTCTTCCACTCAACATCATTTGAGATTTGTCCATGTTGTTTATGCCAACTGTTACTCTATTGCTGAGTGGTATTCCACCGTATGGATACACCACCATCTGTTCATCCTTTCATTTGCTGGTGGACATTTCGGCTACTACAGATAAAACTGAGAATGTGCCGACTAGTCTTCACGTGGACATATGCTTTCATTTCTGTTAGGTAAGCACCCCTGGGAGTGGAATGGCTGGATCCTAAGGAATGCAGGTTTAGCTTTTAAGAAATGGCCATTTCCACAGCATTTGTAGTACTGAACGTGGCCACGAGCAGTACGGAGAAGATGCCCTGGCTTCATGGCCTTACTATGTCGCCACAGTATGGTCATGTTTCCATTCTGCCAGCTGCATTCTGACAGCTGTTTCCCTAACGACTGAGGCTGCAGACATCTTGTCACGTGCTGGTCCGCTGTATACACCCTTTGGTCAAGTGTCCCAATCTTCCCCATTTTAGAAGCTAGGCTGTCTACTTACTGAGTTTAAGAGTTCTTTAGAGATACAAAGCTTTTGTTGGAGATTTTGCCAAATAGTTTCTGTCAGTCTACGGCTTATCTTTTCATTCTCTTCGTTCAAAGAGAAGTTTTTGATTTTTATGAAGTCCAATTTACTAGAGAATTTGTACTTTTTGTGTCCTTTTTGAGAAATCTTTGCCAAAACCAGTCACTATAATTTTTCCCTTTATTTTCTTCTAGATTAATAGTGATAGCTTTTACATTAAATTGTAAAGTCCTCACTTCCCTTTTCCCTTTGCTCCCCACCACCAAATCCTGGCAATCCATCTTTCGCATTTTCCAGAAATACTTTCTATTTGCCAGGTCACCCTCTTCTGCTTAGCTCTCATTCATTCTAATAGCCTCTTGGCTGACTGCCTTCTACCCTTAACCCGTAATATTCTTTAAATTATTTTTTACTGTAGTAAAAAACACTTAGCATAAAATGTATCGTCTTAATTGGATCTTAGGCTACTGTCCCATACCTAAAACAGAGAGCTGCACCAACACAGCAGCCTCATGCGCTACTTGAACATAAATCAAAGCTCAGTTCCTCATTCACATTAGCCACATTTCACGTGCTCAACAGCCTCGTGCGGCGAACTGGCCACCATGCTCGGTAGCAAAGGTATTTCCCACATCCCGAAGTTTTTTGGACAATGTTGCTGTACATTAATATCACTTCCATTTTCAAAGCATTCAGTTCAGGCTCTGAAGTAGAAGCTTTAACCATCAACACTGAGGTAGACTAACTCAATATGAGAGGTAAGAACATTCAAGTTCTGTAAGGATAAATACACCTTGCCTAAAGGAATCCTTTAAAGCTCGACAAGCTCTTTATTGCCCATCTATATAAAAAGTACTTGGTATGCTTCTCAAAGAACATATTCCATCCCAAAGCTATGTACTTTGTAAACAATTTCCTTTCTCCTGTTCTTCATTCGAAACAGTACATATGGGAAATCCCTAATTAATCCACCCTTCTTCATTCCTCAATATACATACTCTGTACTGTAACATATGTGAAATACGTGAACAGAAAATTTCACAACCCTTGGCTTTTTCCCTGCATCTAAGTGAATGTTTACCCCCCCACCCCCCCCAGGGAACAATCACCCACCATTTTAAGCTTCCAAGAAGAGTCAGATTGTACCAGCCAACTGGGCCTTTTCCTGGCTACTCAGATCCATGTGGGGAGCGTCCAATACTAGATTCTCACACTCCACCATCAGAAGTACTGAGTAAGAGTATATGGAAATCAACAGTCCCTACAATGAGCTTGAAGTACAACCAGACTTGGGAGTAAAAACCTCAACCATCTCAGTCTTAAGAGAGAGAAAAAATTCCTGGCTGGCTCGGTCAGTACAGCAAGCAACTCTTGATCTTGGGGTCGTGAGTTTGAGCCCCATGCTAGGTGTAGAGCTTACTTAAAAAAAAAAAAGGATAAATTCATTTTCTCCAAGATAGCAGAGCAACAGAAAGAAAACAACATAAAACCATAGAAACAGACACACTTTCTCTAGCCTGGTTATACTTCATTCTTCCCAGATACACACAATGCTCAACAAGAGACTGAAGTTTATTTATCATATACACAAGTCATGTTTGACCACTGAGAAAATGCTATTTACATAAAACATCACAGATTAAAAATACATAGTATTTGTATTTTAATGCAACGGGGGTCCCAGGATTCAAACAAGGAGGTCTGATTCCAACTCCGCAGTACAGTTGTTTGCTCTGCTACAAAGAGCTCTAGTGGAGGTAAACTCTGGCAGTAAGTTTCTCAAGTCAGACAAGCGTGACTTTCACACACATGGTTTTGCATCTCTCGAGGAAGACACAGCATCTTCAGCACACGTACCAACATCTGGGGCTTCCACGTCCGAGTCCTCACCGGTTTCCTCTTCCGAGTCACACTCCTGACTGTTTGGTGATTCAGAGTTACCCAGAGGTTCCTCATGCAGTCTCTTTTGAAAGAATAAACCAACAATTTACTATCAACACTGTCCAGGCCAAGTCCGTTAGCAGTGTGCTGGCATCACTGACCCTCAATGTTCTAAAGAGGTCCTTTTCGTAAAGGCTCTCAATTACATTCACGGACAGTCAGGTGTTTTATCGAGGTCTCCACCATGCTAGATCCCACTTCAGCGAAGTCACAGCGCCTAACGATTTGCTCATCTTTTTAAAGCACTGACGTGCCCCACAGTCCACTCGAGTCAGTGCTTCTCGAGCTACCTAGAGCGAAGGACCAGGTTTTCTGATTTCCAGTCTGCAGTGGACCGACACACTCAGGGCAGCTGGGAGAGCTATTCACTACTTCCAAGGGAAAACTTCGAACAGTAAGTCTGTCACGGCTTTAAAATGTAAGCAATTCAGTACAAGAAAAGCTAATATTTGAAAAACTTTCTTCCTATCAGTAATACGATTTTTCGAAAACGTGAGTAAGTTTAAGACCTACTTTTTTAGTCCAATACTGTAAGTGAAGTCGTCATGCTAATTCTTTGTTTTTCTTTAAAGATTTATTTATGAGAGAGAGGGAGAGAGGGAGGGAGGGAGGGAGCGCACAGGGGGAGGGCCAGAGGGAGAAGGAGAGAGAAACTCTAGCAGACTCCTTGCTGAGTTCGGAGCCTGATGCCGGGCTTGATCTCAAGACCCTGGTATCATGACCTGAGCTGAAACCAAGAGTCGGACACTTAACTGACTGAGCCAGCCAGGCGCCCGGCCCCCCACCCACCCAACCCCAGGCTAGTTCTTATAAACACATTAGCTTCTTCCAAATAAAACGTCAGATAAGACCACCAAACTTTAGTTTACCAGTTAACAGTTTTATAAATAACGGTAATGTCACACTGGCATTTGTTATATTAAAACCTGTCAAAAAACTTGTCAACTGTGAAAGAAAAATTTTCCATATGTAAGTAAATTCCTTTTTATATTTCTACAAGAAAATAGATGTTCTTTTGCTTCATGATAATAATACTATCTAACAGTCATCGGGGCTCTTATGGGCAGGGACTTCTCTCCACTTTCATCGTTATAACTCATTATTCTCATGACAAGCCTACAAAGTGCATATTTTACTCCCATCTTACAAATGAGGAAGATGAAGCCCTGACAACATACATAACCTGCTTGACTCAACAAACGTGATGGTGCTGGGCAGGGAGCGAAGACTCACACCCAGGAAATCTGATTCCAGAGCCCGCACACTTACTGATTACACTGCTACCTCAAATGATGAAAAAACAGAGGATTCTGAGTCAGGTGAGTGTTCAAATACCTACCTCTATCACCTCTGCCATATACTGCACATGCTCTGCTACCTCTGCCAGTTCTTTGTTTTCCTTCTTCAGGCGGGCAATTTCACTGTCCTTTTGTTCAATTTCTTTGTGAAGCTATATGACATAAATAAAGTTCAGTATTCCACAGATCTGCCATGCTAGAAACCAAACTACCAGGCCTCCAAGTCCGTAACGGAGAATAACCGACAGACACATTTACACAAAGTTCCTAACAACAGTGCTACTCTGGCTCTCGATGAGCTCCTTTGGTGTAACAGTTCTGGTAACAGAGCTCCCTTTCTGATTAGACTTGTCTTAGACCAACATTAAAGCTAGTTTGTATCACTCCAACCAAGCAGAAGGAAAGTAATCCTGGAATGTTGAAGATTGCCACAGACTATAGTCAGTACGTACTTTCTCATTTTCCTTAAGTGCTTCATAGAGCGCCTTCCTCCGTTTTTCTGCCACTTCTTTCCAATATTGAGAGGATGGATTTTCTAAAATAAATTAACGTTTTCATGTAAACCTTGAAAATATTATTATACTATTATATGCTACTGTCAAAACCCAATGATTTTTCTACAAAAAAAATGTTCCCACAACGCTTTATAGAACATCACCAGCTTCCTCTGTTGACTTCCACCGCCATTCCAATTAGAACTAGGACGAACAACAGGCTCCTTCTAGCTCAGCCACGTTGCTGCTGGGTCCCTTCATTTTCTGCTATGTGCAAGTTCCTTTCTTCAAAATCATTCTCTAGATACTTTCTTTTGAAAAGACAATTTCCAAGTCTTGTAACACTTAAGAAAATCTAATGTCAGAGCTGTCATATTAATCACTAACCTTTTAATATTTCATCCATATTTGGATCTTACCAAACAGTAAAGCCTGTTCACAGTATATACCATAAGAAATTTTCAACTATCTAAACATTTGAATAAAATGTCTAATAGAGTCTCCAGATTAAGAGGCTGTGGGCAGGATTTGTAACAGTATCATAAGTGATTTGTTATTTTATTTAATATTTAAATAATTAAATATTAAATTAGTTATTAATATTAATAATTTAAATTTATCATTAACTAAAACATTTAAGAAAAGTTATACATTTTTTCATACCTGCAATCATAAGATCAAACGCTTCTTGAGTAACTTCACTAAAATTTTTATTTTCACTATGTTCTGGGACAAAAACAACTCCAGAGCTGGAAGCCTTAGATGTTAACTGGTCGTTCCAATGTTTCCTTTTGGACAAGGCTTTAACCAACTACAATGAAAATACATACATCAATCTCATTTATTTTGATTTAATGAACAAGAAAGTTGGGTGGTTTTATCATGTATGTATTAAAAACAGAGCACTCATATGTCTGAAATCTTTGGATCTTTTAAAAGAATCACAAATTTAAAACTCTACCAAAATGTAGTTATTTTTTAGGAATTTTATTTGCAGCAACTATCCTAGATTAGACTTAGGTCTAAGGCTTAGCTGAAATTATTTTTTTTGTTTAAATAACTGAGTACCACAGAAAGGCCGTATTTTCAGACCTGTAAAAGTCTAGACACCCTCATCTGTGATCTTATCCTTTACAGACAGGGGTAAATGAATGACTGTAACATTTTATTCCCAAAACATCAAACATTATTCCTGTTGGCTAACTCATAACTTCTTACATCATCCCAGTGCTACTGTAGGTCTTCATACCAATTTTGAACTTCCTAAATTGAACCATCAATACAAAAACCATTTCTGAGAGAAACACACAATCGTTATTCTTGAATTATTTCCAAGTTTCAATGACCTAGGCATCTCCGGATCAAGGACATCTTGGAAAGGTCTTTAATGTAAAGTTAGTATCATTTGTACCATTCTAGCCCGATAACACATACCTCATTCTCTCTTCCAACAAGTGATCCAGCTGCTGAAGGCTGAATCATCTTCAGAGTTCTTCTTGGCACAGGACTATTCTAAAAGTCAACGAAATTTATTATCTGGTTACTCAGTTGTTATACGGGTTATTACTCTCATACTCCTATAATTTAGGAAAAAGGAAACACTAAGAATACTAGTATTTGGTCTGCTATATAATTAAATAGGAGCAATATATTGGTTTTTTCAACTAACAAACTTGTTATTTCCCTAAATTATAATAAAGTTTAAAGAAAGCCTAATGGATCACATTACCCAAACTTGACACAAGTAGCTTTTCTCCTTCCATTTCAATACATGCTGTATTATAGTCATCTTGTTAACTAATCACATCCAGTTAAAAAATATAACAAAATTTCTAAGCTCTAATACTTCAGACCATATTGATGAAACTGCAGTACAACAGGAATATTTGTATTCCCTCTTAAAAAGATCTGCCACACAGAAACTAGAAACCTACCAGACATCATAACATTTACAGTAGAAACCCACAAAAGGGATAAACGGGGGGAAAAAGGTTATTTACACTGCAAAATATTTCTTCCCCTACTCAAAAAGATTCATCTCAGACTTCCTTTAAATAGGAACTATCCCGACACATGTATATGTATTCACCAAAGGAATACAATTTTCAAGAACACAACCTTTATACAGAACCAAAAACACATCGAAGAGGACAACCCCCCCCCGCCCCCCGCAATCTTCACCTGACTGCAGAAGCAGTTTTGCTTCAAGCCCATTCATTAGGAGACGGCCACAAAGTCCATGCCAGAGGCACACGAGAATACTGTGAATTTGCCCACACTACTGTTTTGGAAAAAACTTAGCCTTCCTTATAACATGTAAATAGCTTCCCATATATTTCCTGATCTGAAAGCGCTCTCTCTTTTTGCAAAAAATCATTAGTTATCCTGCTGCCATGGGATAGCAAACAATGGTGAACACTCAAACAAGGGCAGCAAGAACATGACACCGAAGCAGCGTGGGAAAGTTTCTGCTTCCATGCAGTACTTCACAGGACGAGAGCTCACCTTTCCCACGGTACAGTTTCTACTGCCGATTATTATCTCACTATTGAACTGAAGAACAAATGCCAGCTACTCTGAGAACAAATATTACAACAACATTTCAGATGTAATTTAGATTATAGATTAGTCCACAGACAAACAGAAGAAAACCTAACTCTGGACCCTGAAGAATAGGAGGTGTTAATTTATTTAAATGCTTGCTACTAATAATGGCCAAAGAAGCCAGATAAATCAATGCCACACACAAAAAAATGGCCATTTTTAGGATTAACTTTTGTACATGTAAGCCTGAAGCACCCAGCCCCCAAGATGGAATATGGCTATTATCATTCTCTTCATACAGATCATGCATTGGAATACCAGACTCTTTAGAGCCAAGAGGTTCAGGTTCTTAGATATTAATAGGTCTTAATCTTTTTAGAAAACCATTTGGGATTCTGGGAACCCTTCTCTCAAAAAAAAAAAAAAATGCACACAAGAGCACTACTCACATGGAGTTTTGCCTAATTGGTAGGAAATCCATGAACTCCTATAATTCACTCTTATAGATCTAGTTTTAGTCCAATCTCTTTCTTTTACAGAGATGTAAACTGAGGCTGGGATGCTAAATAATTCACCCAACGTCAGAGCTGTGGAGGCTAAATCAAGAATCAAACAGAACCCAGTCCTTTTAAAGTTGTACTCTAGCTAGCACACATTACATTTTTCTTTAAAGATCTGCTGAAATGATATAAACTGTCTGGGATCTGCCTCAAAATAATTATGTGGCTCAAGGAGGAGTGAATGAAAATGTAGATGAAACAAGATTAGTCATATATTGATAACTGTTGAAAATTGTAAAGTTGAGATTATTATATTATTGACTATTTTTGAATATTTGAAAATTTTCATAAGAAAAAGTTTAAGCACACACACAAAGCTCAGTGGGAAAATGTCATCATCCTAAATGGAAAGAGATGGACTTAAATTATCAATGCACAGTTATTATTTAAGAAAAATAATGTAAGGACACTAAGGCAAGGTAAGCCATCTATCAGAAAGCATCTGCTATCACTTATGAAAGGCTTTTATTTATTCTATTTAATTTAAATCTTAAATTAGAAATGGTAGTTTTCCTGAAGATGTGGTCTCATTACCGGGAACCCTCACCCTCTAAGTTGTGTGGCAGAAGCTTGTTAAGTTGTAAATTCATTTAGAACCTTAAGAGCAAAATCAGTCAAAGTTACAAATTCAAAATTAAATTCTGTTCTTATTGTTATACGAATAAATATTTGGGATAAGATTTCCAGTGATGGCATCATACTGGGATTCAAAAAGCGTAGCAAAACAAGCAGGTTCGATGGTAATAAGTATGATCTTCTCTGGACACACGTGCACTGTAACGCAAAATGTGTCTCTAGTCAAAGACACCAATTCTCAAGATACAAAGGATTTTAGTAAAGTCATTTTATAAAATGGAGGAGTGGAAAGAAAGCAACCACAATCTTATTTACAGAGAATCCTAAGGAATCTACTAAAAAACTACTAGATCTAATAAGTTCAGCAAGGTTGCAGGATTTAAGATCAAATTCAAAAAGCAAAAATCAACTGTTTTCCATATAGTAGCAATGAACACACAGAAAATTTAATTTAAGAAACAATTCTATCTACAGTAGCATTAAAAATACTTAAGAAAAAATTAAGCAAAAGGAGTATAAAACTCAATACTCTGAAAACTACCAAAACATTGTTGAAAGAAATTAAGACCTAAACAAACGGAAAGAGATTCCATGTAATGGGATCATAAAACTTACCTGTTCAACCTTAATTAATTTTTTTAAAGTTCTCTAGTGTTACTTGTCCTCTAGCTAAAAGCTCGGCACTTCAAAGTTTATAGAAACAATAGCCAGATTAAATTTAGTTAAATTATATCAAAATGCTTCTAACCACATGCTTTCTTCAACAAATGAAAGTGATTCTATCACATACCTTTACATTCTCTTTGATTTCTTCTTGTTTCTGCTTCATACTTGGATTCATTATACACCTGGTGAAGTACAAAAAACTAGTAATTTATACCATAAACAGAAAGTGGTTTGCACCCGAAGGTGGAGTTTAGATTTTTTTGTTGTTTCAAGTATTTACAAGTATTTACAATCATAGAACTCATTACTACTATACAGTAAAACTACGATCTTTTCTCACTGTACCCAAACTCAGCCCCATCAATGACTACAGGGACTAAAGTTCGTGACTCTTACTATCTATATTACATACACACACACAATAATTCTGGTTAGAAACATCTTGTTACAATAGGAAAATTAGGTATTCTAAACAAATTTACAAAACACTGTGGTGTCCTGGATTAAACAGAGGACTCAAAAAAACCTGAGAAATGGTCACCAAGAAAAGCAAAACAATAAATGGTCACCAGGTACGTGGGTATGCTCAAGTCTGTCCTAAAGAATAGCATTCTAGGGGCGCCTGGGTGGCTCAATCAGGTCGGCTTGGGTCATGATCTCAGGGTCCTGGGACCCGAGCCCTATGTTGGGCTCCCTGCTCAGCGGGGAGTCTCCTTCCTCTGCTTCTGTCTGCTGCTCCCCATTTGTTCTCTCTCTCAAACGAATAAATAAAATCTTAAAAAATAAATAGCATTCTAACTTTGCTGTTTCAAAGGCAGTTTTAAGCTATAATAAAATTGGCTCTGGTAGCCAGCAATAGGTCTGCAGTGATTTAATATCCGATCTGAGATTATGTATTCACATTGGTAGGGAATGTTTAACCATCACCATGAACTGAGACACTGCGGGAAGCAAGGAAGAGGGAGCAGAAGATAAAGGGATTACGCAACGTGCTTAACCAGCCCACTGGGCCAGACTCGCTCCAAACCCAACCTCCGAACCGCCTGGGCAGGTCTGCGCCTGCCAAACATCTTGATTGCTGCAGATTATGCCTTTACTCGGTGCAGCGGCTTTCAGACTTCGACTGTGACTCACCTCCTGCTCAGACATTTACACCGTGCCCTAGCACAAGCACAGACGAGTGTTTAAACCAAAAAGCCCCTAATGGTGTATGCACCTTATTTTCACTTCTATCTCATGTTAGGCAAATGCTGACGGGGACCCACTAAACTGAGCAATGTTTTCTCAAACTGCACGTCGCAGCCCGGGATCCCCAAATCGTTTACTTGGGTCTCGAACACTGTTTAGAAAAATGTAACTGAAGAGACGAGAGAACACCGAGCGCACAGCATGCGAGGCGCAAGTACGGCTTCGTGAAACTTCCCGTTCCCTCGTCTGGCTGCATCCCGAACTGCGATGTGCAGTGAGCTTCCGTCAGGGCCACGGTTCAAACAGGTGGCAGCCCCTGGCCCAGCGCAGTCTCTCCTAGGCCTGTCACACTCCGGTCGGCAGCCCTGACGGGGCTGGGGCCCCAGGAGACGCAGATGCACGGGAGACACCATCGGCGACCATCGGTCGTTTCAGCGGGCGACGCAGGACTCCGCAGGCTCCGAGCACAGCGAGCGCCACGACGCGGCGTGCCGGAGCTCCCCGCGCAGGCCGGGGGTCGGCGGGACTCGGGGCTCCCGCCGCGGCTCCCACCGGGGCTCCCCGCGCAGGCCGGGGGTCGGCGGGACTCGGGGCGGCGCGCCAGGGCTCCCGCCGGGGCTCCCACCGCGGGCACGCGTCCGGGACGCGCCCGCCAACCAATCGGGAGCGCGGACAGGAGAGCGCGCCAAAACCGACCCAGCCAATGGGGCAGCCCCCTCGTCCGCGGGGCCCTGCCTCCCCCGCGCTCCCCGCAACGTCCACTCCGGCCGCGGCCCGGCAGCCGTCAAAGGAGCGGCCCCCGCGTTCCCACCTCTCTCACGCTTATCGGACGGGCGCGCTCGGTCTTCGTAGCGGACGCAGGGAGCTGCGGCCGGAGCACCTCGCACACGGTCCACCACCGCTGGGAAAGCTGGCGAACTCCGCTCGTCTGCGCGACGGCCACGTGACCAGCTGACGCCAGACGGATCCTGCGAATCGCCTCCCGCCTCCGCCCCCTCGGCCCCGCCCCTCGGCCCCGCCCCTTCCTGCGCCTGCGCGGTGGGAGTTGCGCGGATTGGGGCGGGGCCGTCCGGGGGTTTCTGCCGGCGGGGCGGTCGCTGCCCTCTGACCTTGCCTCGGAATTCTCCCCTCTGTGCAATGCTCTCTTCTCTTTGCCCTTTTCAAGGGCAGGGGGCGGGGCAAGCTCTCCCACTAGACACGCAGTCCGGGAGAACAAACTGTCGTATCGGAAGCGCCCGGCGTACCTGTCGGCGAAGCCGTGGCTGCGCGGACTCCCGATTGTGTTCCGGGCGCTTGTATTTCGGCTGCGTGCATCCTGACTGTGCTGCGCTTCGGTGGGGGCTCCGCAGGCTGGACTCGGCCGTCGGTTGCTCCTGCCGCCGCTCACCGAGCGCCCGGCACGCGCCCAGGACTGATCTGGCGCGGGAATGCAAGGAGCGGGGTCCCCTTCGCGACACCTGTAGCTTTGCTTTATCATTCGTCTGCAAAATCCTCAGCTCCTCTATGACATAGCACGTTTGGGGTCACCGGAGTCTGGCCTTTTGTGTACATCTACCGTAACGCGAGTCTGTTTTCCCATTCCTTGACTTTTCCTGGGATTGTCATTCTCAGAGGGAGGACTGCCCCGCACCGCGCACAGCGCCGCTCTCGGGCAGAGCTGTCTCACCTGTGCGCCCACCTGCCCACCTGCCCACCTCCTGCCTCTCACCGGTTTCTCTTCCACCGACCTCACAATGTACAGAGCACAGTGCTGTGGTCCTGGCTTTGTTTGGGAGACATACATAAAATCTAAATTCGTAAAGGAAACAGTCCATTGATTGGAAAACTATCCGTAGACCGGATTTCCAAAGTGAGAATCCTGACGACCAGTGCCAGGTACAAGCACAGCGTCTTTTGACTGTGAAACGCCAGCCAGTCAAAATAGTAACTCTGACTTCCAGTTTCTTCATTCAGCCGCATGATAAAAAGGCATCGCTGGAAAGACCCAAAATGGTAAGTATATACAACGTTCTATTCAGGTAGCCTGTACTGGGTAGAGTATAAAGCAAAGTTCATAATGTTTCTTAACAGAACTAAAAAAACTGGGAAAGACAAATCTCTTCCATAAGAAAATGGTAAGCAAACCAAGGAGGTAGAATCATGAGGTCACCAGGTTAAAAACCTGAGGAGCAATAGGAGAATTGGTGATTTTCCAGAAGTATCACAAAACCCACTTACCTAAATGTTATCTGTAGTTGCTAATAGTATTTCTTAGTTTGGGAATGGTGTGGGGAGACTTTTACATTATACATTTCAGTATTGCTTGACTTTTTTTTTTTTAATTCAACATACCGAAGGAGATGATTCCTGCTTTAGGAAAAATCGTGAGGCTCCCAGAGTCTGAAACAACCATTTTACCAGCTTAGGTTAGATCCTTTTTGCTTTGCCTGCTAAATGATCAACTAGTTAATGTGACTAATTCAGGTCTGTACCTGCACTATCCAGTTGGGTGGCCACTAGTCACACAGTGACTATTGAGCACTTGAGATGTGGCTAGTGTTCATCGAAATATGCTATCATGTAACATACATACTGAATTTCAAAGATTTAGTGTGAAAAGAAGAATGTAAAACATTTCCATAATTTTTTGTACTGATCACATGTGGAAATGATACTTTGGATATACTGGGTTAAATGCAAGTGTTGTTAAAATTCATTTCATTGGTTTCTTTTTACTTTTTAAAATATGGCTACCTGAAAAAAAAATTAATGATCGATGTAGCTCACGTTTGTGTCTCACACTGTATTTCGGTGAGACATGACTGTGCTAAAATAACACAACATGCGTCATCCCAGTGAATCTTCTTAGTAGCCCTGTCAGGTAGATGTTTTCTACTCCCTACTTCACAAGACTGAGAGGCTAAATTACAGGCCCAAGATCTCAGACCACTAGCCGGTGACAGACAGACTTCGGATCTCCTGACTCGAAGTCCACATATGGAAAGAGAGAGGTTCTGAAAATACTCCTCTCTCCAGAGGCAGAAGATCCTCAAGCCCCCACACTACTGGGAATGTCTCTACAGTGTATGCTTTCATACTGTTTTTGAAGAACAAATTTATAGGGAAAACAATTTTGTAGGGATCTGGAAAAAAGTGGCAAGTGGTTGTCATTTAATCAGAATTTGGCCCTAGACATCCAAATATCCTGTAGTCTTATCTGCACTAAGGAAACTACGGGTATTGATCGGATGAGATTGTGCAGTAACATTGGCTCGTGTATAATCCTTCAGTTGACTGCAATGTTACATGCACAAGTTTAAAAAAAATTCACGGATGTTTCTCTGTAATCTTTCTATTAGCCACTTCCACATTGCTGTGCAGTAGAGAGCTGTTTGTTCGTGTCTTGCCCAAGAACATTTATAATCAGTTTACCGAAAGAGAAGGAAAGAAAAAGAAGCACAATAATGAACTGTAATAGAAAAACAAAACCAGTCATTTAACATGATATAAAGAATAATGATAAATTAAAATGTTAATGAAAGGCAGTAGGACCAACTGAGAGGACATGTACCTTTTTAAAATTTATCATTTATTAAGGCTAAACTAAATTCCCAAGGTTTTCAGCCAGAGTTCAGAAATTGCCTATTACATGATAATCCCTATTTTTCTGAAAGCTTCCCTGGGGGAACACATAACAATTTATTACAGTCTTTTCAAAAAGCTCATATAGGATCATTTGTAGTGATCCAGTTCCTCTACTGTGAATTATATTAAAATAGTTGAATTTACGTTTTAGGTTACCTGAAATGTGCACAAAGTTGAAAAAAAATGAGAGCAGAAAAGAAATTCAGATGCAAACAATTTATCAGATTTAGGGTTTTTATTTTTTAATTTTTTTAATTTTTTTATTTTTCTAAATAGGCTGTATGCCCAGTGTGGGGCTTGATTGAACTCACAACCTGGAGATCAAGAGTCATGCTCTCCCAGCTGAGCCAACCAGGCACCCTAGTGTTTTTATTTTTAAGGTAACATTTTAATAATTAATAACATGAGATACATACTAATTTTAATGATGATAAATCAGCTTTAAGATAAAAGGCAGTAAATAGGTGATTATAAAGTACCAAGGAAATGAAAAAACACATAGTGAATGTAGTCCATGATGAACATACACCATTATATGTAATAAGCCATTATATGTAATTTTTCTTTTCATTGTATTTGTATTTTATTTTTTTAATTTTTTTTTAAAGCTTAACTTCTTTCTTTCTCACTTTCTTTCTTTCATTTTATTTAAGTAATCTCTACACCCAACATGAGGCTCAAACTCATGACCCTGAGATCAAGAGCTGTATGCTCCTCCAACCGAGCCAGCCAGGCGCCCCATAAAATTTATTATTATTATTTTTTTTGGTAATCTCTACACCCAGTGTGGGGCTCAAGCTCAGGACCCTGAGATCAAGAGTTGCATGCTTTTCTTATTGAACCAGCCAGGCGCCCCAGTGTAATTTTAAAAGGGTGTTTTTGTTTTGTTTTGTTTTTTTAAAAAAGGGTGTTTTAACTTTCACTTTTCAGAACAATGAGTATTGATCCTGAGAAGTTCATTATTTACAAAAGACATATCTAGATCTGCTAGTTGTCATTTGTATAAAGAAGCTGCCAAAATTTCACAATGGGCTGTCTGTGTTCCTTTTTCAAAACAAGTGCATTCCAAGCAGAAATTGTTTTCTTAATCTCTCTTTTCCTTTGATATTTATTTATATTTTATTTCTTAAACCCAGACCATTTCTCTAAGGATTTGGGCATGGAGAAAATTGTCACAAAATTCACAGAGTTAATTTTATAAAAGTGAACTTGTTGAGTCAGCTTATGTGGTGAGAATGAATTGCTGGCTACATAAGGGAGGACAGGTGTATTAGGTATTTGTTCAAGAGAAACAAAACCAGTAGGATGGATATAGATATAAAGAATTTGCCCACATGATTACGCCAGCTGGCAAGTCCACAATCTGCAAAGCCAATGTCCCCGTTTGAATCTGAAGGCCTGAAGCTTCTATAGAGCCTATGTCCCGGTTCAAGGGTCATCAGGCAGGAGGATTCTCTCCTATGGGAGGGAATTGAGGAGATGGGGCTGGGGGAGGGTCAGGCTTTCATTACAAAAGACTATTTGCTTTGCTCAGTTTACTTATTTAAACGTGAATCTCATCTAAAAACACCCTCACAGAAACACCCAGGTAATGTTTGACCAAATATCTGGGCACCCGATGGCTCAGTCAGGTTTACCTAAAATGAGGCACCACAATGGGAAAGAAAGCCTTCCCTGGACCTTGACTGAGGATGTACTTGGATTCCCTTCAAATGGGAAGGCCTAGAAGTACACTACACCCCATGCTCAGCTGATGGGTTAGTAGGAACATCTTCTATGAAGGA